TGCATCCACTTCGCCTTATTCATGAGACTACTGCTACTGCTTTGGCTTATGGTATTTACAAGACGGACTTACCTGAGAACGACCAGTTGAATGTTGCTTTTGTTGACATTGGGCATGCAAGTATGCAGGTGTGCATTGCTGGCTTCAAAAAAGGCCAGTTAAAGATATTGGCCCACTCATTTGACAGATGTCTTGGTGGCCGGGACTTTGATGAAGTCCTCTTCCAGCATTTTGCTGCAAAATTCAAGGATGAGTACAAGATTGATGTCTTCCAGAATGCTAGGGCTTGCCTTCGGCTTCGTGCTGCTTGTGAGAAGTTGAAAAAGATGCTAAGTGCAAATCCAGAGGCACCTTTGAATATTGAGTGCCTGATGGACGAGAAGGATGTCAGGGGTTTCATCAAGAGAGAGGAGTTTGAACAAATAAGTATACCAATTTTGGAACGTGTGAAGAAGCCATTGGAGATGGCTCTTGCAGAAGCTGGGCTAGGAGTTGAGAGCATTCATGCGGTCGAGGTAGTTGGTTCAGGCTCTCGAGTCCCTGCAATGATTAAGATCTTGACAGATTTCTTTGGAAAGGAGCCTAGGCGTACAATGAATGCGAGCGAGTGTGTTGCCAAAGGCGCAGCCCTGCAATGTGCCATACTTAGTCCAACATTTAAAGTGCGAGAATTCCAGGTATAGCCGTTACATCTTTAGTTGATTTTGCCGGCCTTTTATTGTTTCAACGTGACAGACCTTTTATAGTTTGCTTGGTGGAATAGTTAAATTAATTTATCCCTTTCTCCCAACTTTTTTTCTCGAGGTACATGTTCTTCGATATAATTGGACATAGAATATCTTTGGTCAAGACTTAATGAAATTATGAGCTGTAACATCTAATAACTTGTCATGACTTGTAATGTGTAGATTTTATGTTGGTAAAGAGTTGCAATATTAAGACTGTGACAGCTTTATCCTTGTGGCTTATAGGTGAACGAGAGCTTTCCTTTCGCAATTGCCTTGTCTTGGAAAGGTTCTGCCCCAGACGCCCAGAACGGAGATGCAGATAATCAGCAAAGCACCATTGTTTTCCCCAAGGGGAATCCAATACCTAGTGTGAAGGCTTTGACGTTCTATAGATCTGGCACTTTCACAGTAGATGTTCATTATGCTGATGTTAGTGAGTTGCAGGCACCAGCAAAGATTAGCACTTACACGGTAATTGATTTGTGATACACACTGAGTTCAATTTTTTTAAGGGGCATGAGTAGGAATTGAACTCTGTACGTTGTATGGTGTTTACCTCACAGATTGGACCATTCCAAGCAACAAAGGGAGAGCGAGCAAAATTGAAGGTCAAAGTACGCTTGAATTTGCATGGAATTGTTTCTGTTGAGTCAGCAACTGTAAGTCTCAGAGCAAGCTTTTTTGTCCTTATTTATCTTCTACTTCGACTTGTTGCAGGGATAATGGTAAAAATAAATATTTTTGCCTGTGAATTTTTTTTCCAGCTTTTAGAAGAGGAGGAAGTGGAAGTTCCTGTTACTAAAGAGCCTGCAAAAGAAACAGCTAAGATGGAAACAGATGAGGTTCCATCTGATGCTGCTCCACCTAGTTCCACCGAAACTGATGTAAATATGCAAGATACTAAAGGTGCGGCTGAAGCTCCTGGAGCTGAAAATGGCGTTCCAGACTCCGGGGATAAACCTGTCCAAATGGAGACAGATTCAAAGGTAAGTTTTTTTTTGCCCCACGTGTAAGCAGATCGTGATTTGTTCTCAAGTGACATTTAAGATTTCTAGCTGTTCTTTCCTATATCTTCCACACTGAAATTTTTATCTGACATCAGTTGCTGTTAATTACCTCCTGCAGGCTGAAGCTCCTAAGAAAAAGTGAGGAAGACCAATATACCTGTCTCAGAACTGGTGTATGGAGGACTGGCGGCTGCAGATGTGCAGAAAGCCGTGGAAAAGGAGTTTGAAATGGCTTTGCAAGATCGTGTTATGGAAGAAACAAAGGACAAGAAGAATGCTGTTGAGTCCTATGTTTATGACATGAGGAATAAGGTAGTGTAACAGTTGTATGAGTTGGTTTTGTTATATAAGAGGTTTTGAACTCATAAATTTGTTTGTTTCTCTAGCTCAACGACAGATATCACGAGTTTGTCATGGACCCGGAGAGAGGGCAGTTTGCTGCTAAACTTCAGGAGACAGAAGATTGGTTGTATGAAGATGGGGAAGATGAAACAAAAGGTGTTTATATAGCAAAGCTTGAGGAACTCAAGAAGGTTGGCAAAGCTTTATCCGATCACTTGTTATGTCTTTCTTGGCATTGTAGTTGATGTTAGTCCGATGACATGTTTTACCTTGCAGCAAGGTGACCCAATTGAGGAGCGTTACAAGGAATTTATGGAGAGAGGCTCTGTGATTGATCAATTTATTTATTGCATCGGTAGTTATAGAGAAGCAGCAATGTCAAATGATCCTAAGTTTGATCACATCGATATTCAGAAAAGCAGAAGGTGGGTATTTATCATCATGTAAATCGGTGTCTCCCTCACAATTGTTGGGTTTTTATTTTCTAAGTCATTCTTTTGTGCTTTTAGGTCTTAAATGAATGTGTGGAAGCAGAGGCTTGGTTGAGAGAGAAAAAGCAACAGCAGGATGCGCTTCCCAAGTATGCTAATCCTGTTCTCCTGTCAGCTGATATCAGAAGGAAAGCTGAAGCACTAGACAGGTATCAATTTTAGAGAACAAGCGCTTGTTTTCTGGTGCACTGTTGTCGTTCATGTTTAGTATTAGCCATCAGACACTGATCCTTTGGAGTCTTTTCCTTGTCCTTTCTTTTTCTGGGTATCACATGCAATTCTCACTGCATATTGATTTCCAGGATTTGTGTTTTTAAGATATTCTCTTTATTTGTGAATTTGATCCTGTGGAGCATGGGTTACTGATTATTTTTCACTGTGCAGTGGCATGCTCTAGATACTGAGAGTGTGCATCCTGTGTTTACTTCTCGACATGCACTTCTGCTTGTTTTGTGTGTACTTCGTTATCTTGTGCTGACATATGTTGAGGAATTTGCAGGTCTTGCAGGCCTATAATGACAAAACCAAAGCCAGCCAAGCCAGCTCCTGAAACTGCAACAACACCACCACCATCCCAAGGAACTCAGGCGCAACCTCAGGTGGTGAGAGTCCCAATCCACACTCCGGCCAAAATAGCCATGCCAATGATGGTGCTGGAGCTGGTAATGAAGTACCACCAGAATCTACGGAGCCAATGGAAACAGACAAGTCTGATACAGCACCTGGGGCTGCATAATCTTGGGGACACTGGTCTTTAAATATTTTATGCTGGCTAAAGCTTGGTCCCTTTTGTACCTTTTGACGTATACATGCTGAGCTTTTTGACGGGTCTTTTGTGGTTACGATCAAGTGTTTAATTAGTTTTACGGTGAGGTGATTCGAATTATGTTGTGCTCATCCTTGACGGACGGTATGACACAATATTATCATTATTAGGGGGTGCCTCCAGTCTCTGTAATCCCTTTATTGGGCAGGGTTTGTAAGAGAAGCTCAAAAAATTTTCGGTTTGTTTCACAATTATTTCGATTTACAAAAGTGACTTGGGGAACCCTTTTTCTCGAGAAGTGCATGTTGTTTTGTTGTTATTGGGCATTGAAGATTGTTTCCGTGAGCTTGCGAGGTGCCATCTATGGCAATTTTGACTGAATTCTCTTGTGCTCTTGAAAAGATCACATACGGAGCATCAAACTTGTTCGTGGATCCTGCCGCACCGAAAATCGGTTTTTCTTTTAAACGTATTGCTGTCGAAGCAGAGATTTGCAGTATCGTCTTTGCTCGTGTGCAGGAAGCACAGCGTTCTAACTTTTCCCGACGTTGCTCAGAATTTGAGTTCGCATGCTTTGATGATGCTGGGTTTTAGGGCCAGTCGAATGCCTTTAACTGGAGTGCAACCGGAGCTACAGAACTATGTGCTGTGCCTGTAATTCAATGCTGTTACAAGTACTTGTTAATTTTTAAGGTTCTAAAACTTACCCGAAAATTAATTTTTGGTTCTAAAATAAAGGAAGCTTTTAACGAGCCTATCTAGCGGCTACAAAAGAAAAGGACGGAATGAACGTTTGAGTTAGATTATTATAAGAAAATGCCATATCTATTTTATGAATATTGCAAGGATACTGCTTGAAGAACCGATTCTCGTGCATTGGACTGAATGCACTGGCCGAAGTCTTCTTCTTGGCTGTGAATAAGATATGAATTGCATTTGAACTATTTAAGTATTGGATGTAGTGACCATTTCCAGTTCAGGATCCATACCCCAAAACCAATCCAAATTCTTTGTATGACGGTGAATATGTTGACGCTTACTAAAAATCTTTTTATGTGAGGGTATCTCTTCACGACTTCACCAAGAGAAATGTGTTGCTGTCTTTTCCTGGTGCGAGGAACAAACTCCTCCTTCCCCGTTTCCTGGATGACGGTTGTAGAGTGGGCTTCTTAGCTTCGATAGTCTTGGCTCTTGAGACGAAATCATATGTAGTACTAGGCACTAGCAATTTTGCGTTGGCAAGTCATAGTATACTTTCATTTTACTGTAATTATGATGTGGGAACTTGCCGTTTCAACCCAGCTTTGATACTCCACAAAGTCCATGGCAGTATGGCACAGGAACTGGGGAGCAAATGGATTGACAGTAGTACAGTAACGTAACAGTAATTGCCTTGGCTCTTAGGGGTTCAGCGAAAATGGCAGCAGCCTCACCCTTTTGCTCAAGACGGGCTATATCTACATACCCTTCTCTCAGACAGAGATTTAAGCAAACAGGTGGAGTGCATTTTCAGTATCCTGGTTTTTATATGCTTAAATATCTTGATTCTGCTTCTGTCCCATATTTTTGACGTGGGTTGTCTAATTGTTTGATTTCTGGTTTCTATTCAATCCAATTTTACAAAGTCGTGACACGTAATGCTTACTTGGTGTTCTCGCAGAAATGATATTGTAAGGATGTTTCAGCTTGCAACTCCTAAAGATGAAGCGCCAAATTTTGCTGTGAGCCGACCAGCCATTAGAAAGAGCAGGTCTAAGAGGACATTGGATGAAAGGTTTATAAGGATTTTGAAAATATTCAAATGGGGTTCTGATGCAGAAAAGGCTCTTGAGGTGCTACAGCTTAGAGTGGATCATCGATTAGTTCGTGAGGTACTGAACATTGATGTGGAGATCAATGTTAAGATGCAGTTTTTCAAGTGGGTTGGCAAGAGAAGGAATTTTGAGCATGACTCCACCACTTACCTTGCTCTCATTCATTGTCTTGAGGAAGCTGGCAGGGTTGGCGAAATGTGGAAGACCATACAAGAAATGGTTCGAGGTCCTTGTGTAATCAGCCCTGTTGATCTGTCTGAAATAGTGAGAACTTTGGGCAGAGCTAAGATGGTCAACAAAGCCCTTACTGTCTTTTACCAGGTTAAAGCTCGCAAGTGCAATCCTACTGCAAGCACTTATAATTCTATGATCATGATGCTTATGCAACAAGGGCACCATGAGAAAGTTTATGAACTTTACAGTGAGATGTGTAATGAAGGCAACTGTTTGCCTGATACTGTAACATACAGTGTGCTGATATCAGCATTTAGTAAATTAGGTCGTGATGATTCTGCTATTAGGTTGTTTGATGAAATGAGGGAGAATGGTTTACATCCCAATTCAAAGATATATACGACTGTACTGGGGACTTATTTCAAATTGGGAAAAGTTGAAAAGGCCTTAAGATTAGTCCAGGAGATGAAGGAGACTGGTTGTGCGCCAACTGTTTATACTTACACGAGTTAATAAAGGGGCTTGGTAGAGCTGGTAGGGTTGAAGAAGCTTACTCTGTATTTCTTAATGTGTTAAAGGAAGGCTGTGAACTAGACGTTGTGCTCATAAACAATGTCATAAATTTGCTTGGCAAGGTAGGACGCTTGGCTGATGCTTTGAGCGTATTTGAAAAAATGGGATCTTTGAAGTGTACACCAAATGTGGTGACATATAATACTATTCTTAAATCATTGTTTCAATCTAAAGCCCCGGTATCTGAAATTTCATCATGGTTCGAGCAAATGAAGGCGAGTGGAGTGGCTCCTAGCTCCTTTACTTATTCAATTCTCATTGATGGATTTTGCAAGACAAATAGAGTGGAGAAAGCTCTGTTGCTGCTAGAGGAGATGGATGAGAAAGGTTTTCCCCATGTCCAGCCGCCTACTGCAGCTTGATCAACAGTCTTGGAAAAGCAAAACGGTATGAAGCTGCGAATGAGTTGTTCCAAGAACTAAAGGAGAATTCTGGATCCTTGAGTTCGAGAGTATATGCTGTGATGATCAAGCACTTTGGCAAATGTGGACATTTGCAAAGGCAATGGATCTTTTCAATGAGATGAATAAAGTTGGGTGCAGTCCTGATGTGTATTCTTATAATGCCCTCATGTCAGGGATGGTAAAGGCTGGCATGCTAGATGAAACTCTTTCCTTGCTTCGAACAATGGAGGAAAATGGTTGCAATCCAGACATAAATTCCTACAATATAATCCTGAATGGCTTGGCAAAGACTGGTGGCCCAGAAAGAGCAATCGAGATGTTCACAAGGATGAAAAGTTCGAAGATAAAGCCGGATGCAGTCTCCTACAATACCATTCTTGGTTCTCTAAGCCGTGCTGGTATGTTTGAGGAGGCTGCTAGGTTGATGAAGGAGATGCAAGTGAAAGGCTTTGAATATGATCATATAACATACTCTTCAATACTTGAAGCAGTCGGAAAGATCGATGAAGATCGCGTTCATTCCACTTTTTAGAATGATCTGGTATATACTTCTCTTTAGGTAATTGAGTGGTGTATTTCTCACTCATCAATCATGCTTTTAGGAAATATATGCTTTTGCTTAGTATAAGTGATGCGAAAAGTCGTGTTACAGAATTTTGTGGAACTTTTCATGTGCAATAAATGTTATATGGCTAGTTGCAGGTACTTACTTTATGTTCACCATTTTATGTTAATCATGAGATATGGAATTGCTATTGTCCCGTTTTTAGAGGACGTGATGTGGCATTTTCTGTTTTCATTTGAAAATTCAGCTTGCAGAACTCTATCAGGTGCCAGTGCATAGAGTCAATCTCTGCAGTGTGTTGCACCTCCTCTAAGATCTTACCATGCATGCTTGGGAGGTAAGTTCGACATATAATAAAGTGATCTATGGGAATTACGATACTGTTAAGGGCTTCCATGGATGAGAAATGCCAACTTTTTTTATGGTGTGGTCAATCAGCCTTGCTTGGACATGTTACTGTACAGATACAATTAATTGCTTCTCAAATTTCTTACCCAAGTGTCTGCTAGACGTGCTCAGGCAGCAACTGGCATGAAGCCTGAAGGTGAAATTTTTGTTTACATTGCTTGTGCCAACTGGCAACTCTGTCAATGGTTTAGAGTTGGAGATGAGTCTGCAAGTGATTATCCCGGCTTTCTCTTTATCTGCTGGTGGCTGGACTATGGAATCTGTTGCTAGGATCTTGGACGACATACTTGGATGATCCTTTGTCCATAATCTTTGTCTGCTAAGCTCTTGTGATTTGTTTTTTATAGAAATTAATGCTGATGAAATATTTGTCCATAATCTGTACTTTGGATACTGGATGCTTTGGTGGTAACGTTTTCAAATGACATCTTCTTGCTGCTGTTTACCGACATTCTGTTTGCCAGATACTCCATCATATTAGTTGGCAGTATGGCTGACGATCTCCCTGTCAAGCCCTGCCTAGATGCTATATTTTTGTCAGGTTATTCCGTGACAATACTTTTGTTTAAGTTCTTGAAAATATGAAACCGGAACAAATGTCACCAGTTCTGTTCCTATCCGAACCATGACAAGCATTACACATTAACCAGGTTTTCCTTTTATGATTTTGTTGAATTCATTATCAAGTATAAAGGACATCAGGTTCAAAAATTTATGTTCAAGAAAATTATGTATGTTTTTTTTTTTTCTAAAAAAAATGTAATACAAATCAATAATACGAGACTTTGATATGTTTCTTCTACATTCATTGCCTTTCTTAGAACCTTATTCTAATTTCAGTGTCTAATTTTTCTAATATTGATGATTTTATAACCATAAGGGCAACTCTACCGCGAGCGCAGTTGTGACCACAACCGGAACAGTCCCCATAAGGGTGGTTCAACCAAAACCGTGAACCCTGAACAAGAAACATTTGACACAACTAATGAAATCAGCTAGAAGCAGAAAAAGTACCATAACAGTGGGAGGATGAACATAGAATTGAAGATGATCTTTGAATTTTATTTCTACCAACCTCTTTAACATCTAAAATACAGTAATCGACCGACCAATTTATTGCCTAGCAAAGAAATGAACAAGCGGGCGTGGTGCCGTTGAAATTGTACAACAAAGCCAGGCAATCAGGCAATCATGAAGCGATGTATCTCAAGAACATCTCAGCTACATAGTTCACCTACTGATATTCTCAGCAGACACATCATTGTCTTCATCATCACCTTGTCGAATTTTAGCAATCTCTGCCTGAGCTCTCTCCAGGATCTGCCTCTTTTGTAATTCCAATTCTCTATGGAAGTCCATTCTCATCTTCTCGAGTTCCAGTATCTGCTGCCTCTTACTGTTTTCAATCTTTTCATATATCTCACTAAATTTCTCAATGGAATCTGCAAGTAACTTAAAGGAAGCTCCATTCCCTCTGTCCCTCACAGTCTTCGTTCTCTTGGGTGGCAGGCCCTCAGAATCATCCTCCTCAGCCTCAGCTGACTCAGAAATTCCTGGGCTATCCCTCATCTCGTCCAGTCCATTTGAACGGTTGAGATACTCCCCAGGGTTCATGAAAACATACTCCCCCGAGTCCACTCCACATGAAAGGCCAGCTTGCTGAGGAGGCGATGACAGCAACATATCCATTTTCTGAAAATAGACCCATTTACTCACAAAATTCACAGTCTCTCCCAATTTTGCCTTCTCCTTTTTGTACTTCTTCTTCAGTGTATCCAAACGGTTTCGGCATTGAGTGTCTGTCCTATCAATTTTCGACTGCTGGGAAACCTTCTCTGCAACTTCTTGCCACTCCTCAGACCGAAGACTCTTCCTCCCATGCTGGAGAAACTTGTCACCCCAAGCATCCAGTAAAATGAATGTTTCATGCTCACTCCAATCAGCAACTGCGTTTCGGCCTCCAAATGATGGCTTCGGCACAGGAACAGGTGCTGCTGATGTTGCTGGGACTCGAGGTGCAAACTCATAACTCGACAACAAGCTCTTAAGCTTCCTCTTCTTGGGGTGCCTCTGCATATCACCATAATCATCATCGTCATCATCCTCATTGTCATCATCAAATTCATCTCTCTCTACTCGTTGAACCCCATTTTCTTCATTGTCATCATCTTCTTCTTCATCCTCAACCTCTTCCTCTTCATCATCAACATCGTCATCCTCAACATATCGATTAATCACATTCTGACCAGCATTTCGAACAGGAAGCTTTTGGCGATTAGACGAGCCATAACCCTGACTCATACCATAAGTATTTGTGGGTATCTAGCATCATCCCTCAGTGTCATCCATTTTAGCACACACGGGATCAAGGAACCAATAAAGACTTTACCAAGCAATCCTGATTCCCACCTTAACTTGACAAGATTATACTCCTAAAATGAAAAGGCAAAAGTTCAAGTTTCCTATTATATATCATTGATATCACAATAGCAGAAATGATCTGCAACTAAATGTCCTAGAACGTACCACCAACGATTACCAACATTTAATTCCACTACTACTTATTGTGGGAAAAAATGGAAATTTTTACCCTCAAATCCAACAATCATCCCTCCCAACTAATTAAAAGTTCAAATTTCTAAATTTAGCCCAACAAAGATCATATTGCAATTAAAAGGGAAAAAAATCCACAATGAAATTCAAGAGAAAAATATCATAAAATCTCAAAATCTGCTCTGAAAACAAACAATAACTTAAATTTGTCTTTTTTCCAACCAGAATAAATTACAATAAAAAAAGAAAAAAAAACAGGAAACATGAGAGCCTTATCTCAAATAAGACAAAGTTAAGCCAGAAATACCTTAAAGTTTCAAACTTTCAGCAGAACCAAGCACCGAAGACCGACAGACACTACATGACTGAAAGCCCTGATGAAAAATTCTACCAAAAAAAATTTATTTTTTTTCTCAAGAAAACTTTTGTGATCCTGAGGCTTTTAGGCAGCAGCCAGCGATGCAAATTTCACATGGGGTTGCCTAAATTTTCTTGTTTTTTATGAGGAATTTAAGGGTTTGGAGGGGATAGATGGAGATGCAAGAATGATGAGAGAAAGTATCAAGAGTGCGCATCTGACCATGGAAGGAAATCAATATCGGATATAAAGTAGAAGCTGCTAAAATGCGCCGGATGCGTTTTGTTTCTCTCTGGTTGCAGTGATCAATGTCCAAACTACCTTGGGTCCACGTGAAGTGGGCCACGGCTAACGAAAGAAGGAAGGGACGGCCCAAATAATGCCCACGTGCTTGGGGTTCCCTGTTGAGTTGCGTAAGTGCTAATTGGAGACAAAATTGAATTTTCAGAAGAGTAATAAATCTTATACAGTGGTACTGGATATACTATTACAGTTGGATGTATAATATATATATAAAATTTGAGTTTCAAATTCAAATTTAAATTATATATTATACATTCAATGATGAAAGTTTATATACTATTAGTATATAGAAATTAATTCTTTTCAAAATGGTGGCAAGATAAAAGCTCCAGTTTACTAACTCAGGTTCATGAGCAATTTTTGCTAAGTAGCTGGATTTTAAATGTGTAAAAATTTTCTTTTGAGGAACAATTAGGATTTTTTTTTACTATAAAAGAAGTACGTTTTCCTTTTGATTGTACAACATTTTGGGCCCATTTAGTATTTACATTATCAAATAGTTAGTAAAAAAGCAGGAGTGAGAGTGTAACCACTACCATTACTAATTTGCAATAGCATTCATATTTATAATTATTTGCCTTAACTGAAAGCTCCACGTAATGTGTAATTTTCACTATAATTTGAATCCTTACTCCAAAATAGTGATCTTTTTTTTTTGTCTGTAGGAGACAATTAAAAGCTAAACTAGAACTATTGTTTCCGAATTGAATCAGTATACTTTTAAGGTTTTTCCTACTTAGTGCCCAAAGGCATATGATAAGCAAATTTAAAAAAGAAAGATAAATTTACTATTAATGCTTGGAATTTACTATATAAGAAATTCACCCTCAAGCAAAAAAGGTAGCAACATGAAACTCATTTCTTATGGTGCGCCTTTAGAGCACCAAACAAATGAACCCTACTAAAATCTAAAAGTTTTGATTTTGAAGTTAGATTCCCATTTTCTACCAAATAATTGATGGTCTCTCTTAAATTTATATGTATTGTGAAGAGGTGAATTTTAGTTTAACGAGCTGTGCTGAGCGGTTAGGGTATTCTCCTGTAGTGGGGCACGGCTCTATAGAAATAGCCTGCTCAAATTATCAGAGGCGGGGCTGTGTCCCCCGTTTCCCTCCGACGGTCTAGTTAGTTCGGATAGGAATCAAAATGGAAGGAGCTATTAGGAGTGATTCTTACAGAATATTTAGTTGGTTCCTTCTGAGTGGCAGGCTCTGATATTTATATGAGACAACTTGGAGGGAAAGATGGTGGGATTCAAGTTCCTAAGATCTGATGGGGACTGAGAATATCCGCTTGATTTGATAGGTCTGTGCAGGGGATAGGTCTCATCAGATGTCTTGTCTGTCCTGCAAGTGTCAGGGCCTTTGACTAGACCTCTGTTATCACGTCAGTCACAGCGCTATTCTGGGACAATAGTAGACGTAGGAGTCACCTCGGTCCTCCATAAACGAGGTGTAGCCGAGGTGACCAGAATCGATAGGGGTCCCCTACGAGACGAAGGAATCAACCCGGCACAACCGGACCGAGATGTCCATTATCAGAAACTATGGGCAGAAAAGGAAGCTCGGCTTGGTTAAACCGAGCCGGGTCGACCATCCTCGTATTGAGAAGTAAAAATAAGAAGCATTGAAGTTTATTCCGCTTAGAAAGAGTACAAATCAGGTGAAAAATGGCATCAACATAACCATACGCTTTCCCTTTCTTTTTTACCATAAGTCATTTCTCAATAATAGAGAAAACGCATTTGAGTGTATTTTTTTTTCTCCCTTAAATTCTTCACTATTTGCGAGTGACTCGCCACGTTCAAGTAAGGGTGGGTAATTATCCCCTTCCCCCTCAACTTCGAAGAATTTTTAAAGTTAGCTTGACAAAATTTTTAATTTTCAATTGTCTTATAATTGTACCCCCATAAAAATTCTAAAATTTTCTATTTTCCTTTACTTTGCCCCCTAAGTTTGCCTTCCTAAGTTCTTGATGTCTATAATTATCACATAGTTTATAAATGATGGCATGTTTGAAATAAAGCCAAGTACTAGTTAAAAATTTAGGAAAAAAAAGTAAATTTCAAAACTTTTGGTACATAAAAATAAATGTAAAAAATTTTGTTATCTATAGTAAAAATTTTTTTTATCTAGTTGTTGTTGTTGTAAAACACTATATAATTTTTTCAAAATTCACACAAGGATCATATTGGTTATTAAAATTTTTCAACAAAAAATTTTGCCTTAATTGTAGCAATTACCCCCCCCCCCCAACCGTGGGTCCTAACTCCGCCATTGAGTGTGACATATTTAACATATAAGATTTGGAGAACCTTGAAGTATAACATTAATTTCTTTGCAATTTTGAATGACTATAGTTGCGTAATTATTTTATATATGAGTCATATCAATTATAATGTTGGCAGTTTTAAATTGTATGTCAAATAAGCATTGCAATAAGTATCATAAAGCACATTGAATTTCAAGCTATATGAGAAATTTTATTGAAAATTATGTAAACCAACTTTAGAAAATTCATAACTGGAAGAATTGGTTAGTAAAACATGTTAAAAAGGTTGATATAGTTAATTTTGCTTAGCAATTAAGAATAGGTATGATGTAAATAATGGAAAAAATCAAATTAATAGAATCTTTAGATTATCATATACCATTTGTTAATTTTGAAAATGATAATGACAAAATTAGCCGATATAGATATGATACAAGTACATATTAGTTGGTAAAAAAAGTCTAATTTAAAAGGCTCAAAATTGTACCATTAGTAGTTAAAAGTATAGGACAATTTAATTTATATCCAGGGATAAAGATAATTAAAATGTCGCTTTTCGACCGCATAATTATACTTGTTGACATTCGATAGAAATAATTGTTGATTAAAAAAGGATTACATCTTTGACTTAATTACCAATGCATCTCACAAGAATAATTGATTTTCCATGAACTTAACAAAATATTGAATATAATTACTTTTTAGGTATATTGCAATTGAATGGGTCTGATTTGTTATAGCAAATTCTTCCATGTACTTATCTGTGAACTATTTTTTTGGGATAATACGTTACATAAAATTATATAATAGTTATTTTTTGGCACTCAAAGTATTATTTATTCGACACTTTAGTGATGACATTCAGAAATCAGAAGGTTAAAAAATCTGCATAAGACTCCTTTATGCATAAGTTTAATCTCCAGTGTTGAATAGTGTATCTTTAATACTAGTCAGTGTTTTAGGTGCCAATTAACAGTGGTTGGACTACTGGAGTTTTTAGCGTCTCATAAAGCCTTAAACAAGTAAGCAAAGACGTGGTAGTAAATTAACAGAAGTGCTATGACCATTTATTGGATTTCTTCGCTTAAACCAACTTTGGAAATTGAATTTAGTATTTCGTTAAGAAACCATGTTGAACAAAAGATAACAAAAGTTCCTTATTATGAAACCTAGTAGTAATTGTTCTATGATTGATTAGACGAGGAGGCGTCATTGGCTTTCATTATTAAGTAGATCGATAATTTTAGTCAACAATATCACAGCCTGAAGAATTAATTTTCATCAAGGATTTCTCCAAAGCAAATTACAATCTGCTAATTAAGTTGAACTTGTACATGGATGCATTAATGAAGTTGGATTTGCAATTATTACATTATTATCTTGGACAATAGTTAAATCTGCTTAAAACATGTATATATAGTCTCCATCCACAACAAGCATGTTTTCTGATAATTAGTTAGTTTATGTTGGAAGAAATGAAGACAGGGGAATAAAATACTCCTAGTAACTGGCACAAACGGCAGAAAATCCTTGTGGAATACAAGGAAATAATTGTGGCAGAAAATCTTTGCCGGGTACGAAGAAATCCATGTCCATTTCATTCCTGGTACCAAATAAGTCAGTGCTCAGCTTTAACCTGCATTAATGGCGAGATATTGAAATTGTTACCGTGGCAAGGAAAAGAACAAAACAAGGGAAACGTTTTATGGCGGCGTTGCAGAAATCCATCCCCGGCTTCTGAGTCAGTTATTTTGGCCTTAAGCAGCCAGCCCAGGAAAAAAGCGCTGTTCAAGTCCCATTCTTTTTAACTTTACTGTCATATTACATGCATATGCAAACACACCGATCATGTGATCCTCGGCTGGAGTGGGAGGATCAGAGGTTTAAGATGCGGATTAGGGTCTAATCCAAGCAAGCAATGCTGCCCCCACAGGAAACAATTCCAATTATTACCGATGCATGAAGACAATATCAATGGGGGATACGTGTTAAGACATGTGACGCGTGGAAGGGGAGCATAGATCATCATCTTGACGGTGGTTCTGCTATAAATTGGCCTGCATCTTTCAGTAGCTTTGCACTACTCAATGATGAGCTTTTATTAATTGGTACTGCAATTAATTTGGGGCATGCAAATTTAAGTATACCAGCCAGCAGCAAGATAAGGGCTTGTTTGAAGAGAGGTAAGAAGGAGAGAGAGTGAAATTTGGCAGCGTGCAAGTTATATATTTACCAATTTCTTATCATTTCCTGCATTCTAAATCTATAACTGCATAAGCTCTTGTGGAATGAATCACATCCACGAAGCTTTAAGGCGACTATCCAGGAGTTCTATTTATACATTTATCTGGAGAAAACCCCAAATGTTTCATGCCCTTTTGATTCACCTGAATTTTCTGGATTCAATCACACGCATGCATGTTGTCTTTGGGTATTTTTTTAGATTCATCTTCATTTTCTCCCTTTTCCCCTCATAGAAAGATGTGTTCTTTCCTCCATCTACTTGTTTCAGCTTTCGAAATCGGTATTGCTCATAAACTTCTGTTCTTCCCTTAAACTTTGATTTGATATATCCTGTTAATTTTTAAATTAAGGAATGGAGATCCTTTTTCCTATTTTGCCATTTTGTCTCTTTACTCACGGTTGTTTATCAATTCTCCCAATTCTTTCCGATTAATCTCATGCAGGCAGCCATCTTTCAAGAACCAAAGGTTTCCGTGCAGACATGAATTATTCAAGAGTTCAAAACTTCCGGAAGAACCAAAAGCAGCATATTTCTACTAAAGCAGCTGCTATGCTGCAGAACCAGATGATTCGGAGGAGCTCATCTTCTGATCTGTCAGAAATTTGCTCAATTGGTTCTGGAAGTTCACTGGAGTCTCTGGCCTCCTTGGCAGTGATTCAGGCAACAGCTTTTCCTCTGGTACACCTCCATCTGCTCTGAAGTCTTCTGATCATCCACCAAAAATTCCATTTCAGAAGCAGAAAGCTGCACTAGGAAATAAGAAGATGGGAAAACCAGGCTTCCTGAGTTTACTAGCTGACAAGGAGGTCCGACCATTCCAGAACAAGCATATTATTCTCAGCTACCGGCTTCAACATTATGAGAGACCGTCAGGTGTTTCCTTACCCATCGAAACGAAAACAACTTCTGAGAAAAGTGGTGATGAAATCCTGAAGCATCAAATCCTGATGATAAACCCTTGAAAAACCCTACATCCAAAAATGGTCAGGGCCCAATCCAGTTTGGTACCAGCCAAGGCTTAAAATTTCGTCATGAATCCCCTTGTGTGTTTGCACTCAGAAGCTGGGAACAGTCATCAGCACCACCACAAAGTGTCTTTTCCGATTATGATCTGTTTTCCAGACCAGAATCTGCGCCTAGTTCTGAAATAAAAGGCCATGCTATCATAAACCCTGAGGGCAATGCATGTTTTCGCCCACTAACATTTTGCACTGTTCATAAATCTGCAGGTGTGCTAAGGCTAAAAGACATCCAGGATTCAGAATGCTATAGTCGACTGGAAGTTAAAATTCCAGTCCATAAAGTAACTCACTGGTTTAATGACTGCATCCTTAAATTTCCACCAATTCATACTACGTTGATTGTTTTCAAGCCGCCGAGCAAAGACCAAAAGGCTATGGAGGACTTTAGTTCTGTTGCTCCTCCTCCTCCTCCACCACCTCCACCACTGAAAGCTAATCCAAATGCGTCCTGGACCAAAAATGCAAAACTTCAGGTGAACTTCTTAAGGTATTGCATGGAATGCTGCAAAGTACTTGTGCCCAAGAGTAATGTCTACTTGTACAGGTGTATATCAAAGACAAATATATAGAACCCCCAACACCCAATTCCCCCCCCCCCCTTCCCAAAAAAACACAACACCAAAAAAGGGGTTTGAGTATTTTAATGCCTGTTTAACATGATTTGTAGGGGCGATGCATGGTTTTGCAGCGAAGAATGCCGCCAGTCGAGCGCCATAAAAGACTTGGAATTAGAAGCAATTCAGGAGCTGGCCCTGATGCTTCAAAGGGCTAAGATTAAGCAGGCTAACAGGGCCAAAGCAGTAAAAGAAAGTGAAGTCGCTTCAGGCAAGGACAAGAACAAGGGCAAGGGGAAAGGCATCTTTTTCATCGGATGATTTAAATCTCGAACATGAATAAATAAGATGGGCTAGCTATTGCGTGATGATTTCCATGGCTTGCAGGAACCAATGTAAAATTGTCATAGAGCCTGCCATTTAGGGTCGTTGGATATTGTCCGTATTGTAATGGACTTCGTGTCTCTGAATATTATTAATGTTGCAATGGACATTAATTTATGTAATGCCATCTATTTCTCCTTGAATCCATCATATTAGTTTTCTAAGTAAGTATGACGAAATATATCTAGAAAAGGTCGTGATTTTCTTTCCTAATAAATACAAAAAAAAAACAAATATTAACACATAATAGATTTTGATAGCTTTTTTTTTTTTGGATTTTAATAGTTATAATTGTTTGTATTTATTACGTTAAGTTTTATTTTCTCACACTGAAATTAATCTTCCAACGTAATGGAGAAAATTCAATGGTTCCAACTATCAAATTCTTTGTAATGAATGATACGTAATAGAAGTACGTAGTGTTTAGTTTACGACAATGGAGCATTCTTCGCTTAATTTGTCTCTCATGAATTGAACTTTTTTGTTCTGAACAAAGAGAGAAATTCAAGTAAAATGTTACACTATTATGAATTGCATATGCTCATGAAAACACAAAAAATGTAGTTTAAACTTGAAAGCATCTACTGTGAGTTTTGTTCTTATTTTTATTTATGCCTGCTCCTATATTTATCAGGTCTAGGAATTAATAGAGTTCACTAGTAAGTCCCTAAGAGCTCCTCTATGTCTAATTTTAATGAACTATATATATATATATATATTAATGGTAAATCTAAGATGTTTTACTCCATTTTTAATGAACTAATCCATCAATAGAGCAAAAAAACATTTAGATTCAAAATCTAAGCACCTATCTGTCTGTAAATTGCAATTAGAGTCGAGTCACAAGAAATGATATGAAAATCTAGTAGTCTTTGATTTATTGTCCATTGACTTCATTTCTTGATTGGCATGGATGTGGCTCATTTTTTGATGCACGTGACAATAAAACTGTACTTGCAACCAACTGTCATTTTTCTGTTGGAACCCGACTCGGAAGCTGTAGAGCCCGACCCGACCTTCCATCTTTACGAATGAACCAGGAATAATAGGGATAAAATGTAGCCAGAATCAAGATTCTGCTTGCGGGTGCTTAGCACTCATCTTAAAAGCAAGAAAAAGAGGACAGATTTTCACCAATGGGTTTTCTGAGGGAAGTTGTTGCCTTTTGCATTCTCCGATCCACCGTTCTATCTTGTTGATCCCCTCTTCATCATCATCATCATCTTCTTCTTCTCCTTCTCTCACTCAAGTTGCTTGTTTTCACCTTTGAAAATGGGGCAAAACAGAAGGAAGAGAACAAGAATTTCTGCTTGCATGAGCCAAGAAACTGGAAATGAAAGGAGCTCAGGTGCAAGAAGGTTCGTTCTTTTTGTGGGTTTTTCAGTTATTCCCGTTCTCAAATTGACTGCCAAGGCTTTTGAAAGCTGGCCCCAAGGTAAGTGCTTTTAAGAGTTAAAACTTTTCCTCAGCATCATTTACCTTGTTTTTGTTATTAGCACTAGTTTGTTGTGTTTTAATAATCTTGAATTTTGAAGTGATGAAGTCTTCCTTGTTCTAAAAATGTTTTATGAGAAGTTAATTTGCGTGATGAATTTGGTTTCTCGCATTTACTACTGAGCGTCGAAGTCTATCTGAAGACTGTTATTCATTTGACTTAGTTAACAATATCTGCCTTTTCTTGATTGTGATTCTGTAGTTCCTACCTTATTGAGTCCTTTGTTGAGGTACTATTGGAATTTATATCAACTCTGATATATGTTTATTGAAGAGCCAAAACCCAAAAAAAACCCAAAAAAAAAAAAAACTTATAGTTACCTTGTTTGCTGAGATGATTGAAGAATTTTGGAAGGATAAATTTGGACAAAAATATCAGACTAGTAATACATTGCTGAAATCACATCTTCATTGAAATTGAGCTCCAACCTTATTTTTATCCGGAGTCTATGTTATGAAACCAAGAATGTACTTTTCTCAAGAAGAAGTGGAAGAAACCAACATTACTCGCTAAATGTAGAGCAGCTCCAGAGGCTTATAATTTCTTTGGAGGTGCGCTACAGTTCCTAAAACGAGTCTCAAGGGGGTGATAAAATGGTCAAGGGGATATTTGGTTGGCATGATTTGATGGTCAAGGCTGAGAATGACTTGCTAGCTTGGTTATGATAGAGAATATGGGGTAGTTTTCTTCTTTTTCTTTCTTGTTCTTGCTTTCTGTGTTTTCTTTTGTTATAACAAAAGAAAAAGCTCTGAGGTTAAGAAGCCATCACTAACTTCTTCCTAAATAGAAGGAGCTTCTTAAATGATTGTCTTGTCTTGCAGGTGGTATTTCTGCTTTTCAAAATGCTCAAACTTCACCTTACAGAGTTTTTTTCCCCCTTTAATTGCGAAATCAGCATTTTGAACCATGTTGGGCTTTTACTATAACTTTTGGAGCTTTGGAAGGAATGTAAAAAACTTTGAGAGACCTCGTCAGAAATCAGCAGAATGGTAAAGTGTTTAAAAGAAAATTGACAAAGTAACCTTCTTGGAGCAGGGTTAGAGTTGCTAGTTTTACCCATGGTGCCTCATCCCTTAGACGTCAAGCCTAAAACTTAGTTCAGCTTGTACAGCACATGCTATAAAATGTAAATAATGTATTCCATTGGCTTGTATGAGCATTCTGTGTAATTCTGATTTTGACCATGCAAATGATGGAACAATGTCATATTCTTTAGGCAAAAGACTCCACTCCAGCATATAGGTTACTGATTCAGCTTGATCTTAGCAAGCTATTGATCACAATGGGCTAATTCTGAATGCTGAAAAAATAGGGCAAATGCTGAGAATAGGCTGAAGTTTTATTATAAAAGTGAACCAGAACTAGAAAACTCAACTGATAAAGAGCAAAATGTGAAATTCAAACCCTATGTGTCTTCTGCCACATAAGTTCTAAAATATGGTTACCTCAGTTATCTTTCGATATTACATTAGCTTTTGTGGATGATTTTCCTTGTCTTTAGGCACTGAATATCACAATAGGGCCACTTCTAGTAAATGAACTTTTTGCTTCACTATTAACAGACCACTAAAGTTATGGAGTTATGGGTTTAAATTTTGTCCAGAGAATTACTTAAATGTTACCATATAACAGTATATGACAGCTTCCGTCAACTTGTTCTTTTCAGCAAGTAATAATAGCTTGAATGGTCTTGGCCTACTCTTGAAAGAAAGCAAATTTGCATTTGTTCTCAGCAGGACACATCATAGGCTTTTATAAATGACATATTTTTAAATGTAGGCCCACTGTTAGCCCTCATTCAAACTGTGACTTTACAGCCTCAATTGCTGTCTAGAGATCTTTAATCCTTTCCTAAAATCACCATATTTCCTATTTTTTGTTTTCCTTTTTCAGATGGTTCTGACCTAAAATCTGTGGAACAGGACCGCAGAGCTGAGGTATGATAATTCAGACATCTGGCTGAAGAAGGTTTTTAAATCAGTAAATCTCTTTAATTTTTATGCTTCGACATTTTTAAAGCAATTGGATGTTTTGAGGTGAATATTATCTTTTGTCAGCAAAAACATCAAGGAGATGCATCACACAACCCCTTTGTTTCACTTCTCAGTGGACTTGGAATTTTGGGTTCTGGTGTGCTTGGTGCTCTATATATGCTGTCCCTAAAGGAGAAGGCAACTTCTGAGGCTGCCATTGAATCTGTAAGTATTGAAAATAGCTTAAACATACTAAACTCTGAATGTCAGGGCTTACAACCTTCCTGCACGAGGCATATGAACTTTGACATTTAGGGTTATCTATAATAGCTAAAAAGTGTTCACTTTCTCTGCATGGAGCAGCTTCACTAGATGCCCTGGAATATATACGCGTTGTAATTGTCTAGATACTGATTTTTACTTGATGTACTAGAACTTCACATTCTTTTCCTCTCTTCCTGTTAAACATCTTTAATTCTAAAATGAGTGTTCATGTGGTCAAAGCATGTTTTTCTAGTTCACCACTTAACAGGCACCTCAGCTGGCAACCTCAAAATGATTACTAAAGCCCTTATTTTCGATCTAGCTTAGGATGCTTAAACAGTGGCTATATTTACCTGTTATCTTGGTTTTACCTGATTACTGTGACTTGAAATACAAAGTTTTGGAGATTTTATTTAGTTGGTTTCTAAAAAAGAGTTTCTTGGGCCCTCGTCATTGAACTCAAATGCTTCTATTTGCAGATGAGAACAAAACTGAAGGAGAAGAAGCTGCCATTGTTTCATGGAGAAGAAATTTCGGTCAGATTTGATGAATGAGAAGGAAAGTCGAAATCAGCAAGTTACAAAATTCCATGAAGAGCAGCGATCTTTGGTTAGCAAGTTGAAATCAGCAAATGATACTGTAGTAGGCCTAGGACAGGAGCTGCAAAAAGAAAGAAAAGTGATTGGAGAGCTCAAAGCAACAATTGATGGTCTTCAAACTGACCTTGTGAAGGCTCGGGAAGATAAAAAAGAAATACAAGAAAAGTTAACGGAGAAGCTGGAATCTCTTGGAGTCCTGCAAGAAAAGACAAACTTTCTTAGTGGAGAGATCAAGGATAAAGATGATACTATTCAAAGTCTTAGCTCTGCACTTGCTAAGAAAGAATTGGAGCTTGGAAAAACTCAACTCTATCTATCAACAATTGCAGGATCAGTTTGCAGGCTTGAACTCAGAGAATGAAGAACTGAAGGATAAGCTACTGAAAAATGAAAATGAGCTGGAACTGAAAACTGCTGCAGTGGATGATCTGAATGTGCAAGTAGGTATGTTGATTGCTGAGAAAGAGGAATCTAAGAGAAAGTTTGATGCAATAAAAGGGGAGTACAATGACTTGAAGTCTTCATCAATGAAGAAGGCAGCTGAAGATGCCAAACTCTTGGAAATGCAAGACCTTAAACTTCAGCAATTGGAGGAGCAGCTTGAGTCTACCTCAAGTGAAGTAAGCAGAAGCAAACTTCAAATTGCTGGTTTATCAAAAGAAAGAGATGATTTGAGGAATACGTTGGACGTAGAACTGAATAAGTTGGAGAGTTTGGAGCAAGAGCTCCAAACACACTTGTAAATTTAGAAAAATCAAGGAACGAAGCTTCTGGATTGGCAAGTCAACTTCAGCTAGCAAGAGAATTGTGCTTGGAGCTTGAAGTTGAAGTTTCTAAGGTTAGGGCAGACTTTGCTGAAACTAAGGAGACCTTACAGAAGAAAGCTGAAGAAGCAAGGAGAGATGCCGAGGTTTTAGCTGGTGAGCTAACATCTGTGAAGGAGCTCCTGAAGGAAAAAACTGAAGAGATTCTAAATGTGTCTAATGAACTCGCTGCTGTTGTACAAACACGTGATGAGCTTCAAAAGGAACTAGTTGACGTCTACAAGAAAGCAGAAAGTGCAGCTAACGATCTAAATGAAGAAAAAGCAATTGTTGCTTCTTTGAACAAAGAGTTGAAAGCTTTAGACACTAGAGTCTCTAAAGAGAGTGAAGCCCGGAAATCACTCGAGAGGAATCTGGAAGAAGCTACAAGATCACTGAATGAGATTAATCAGAATGCGCTAATACTTTCAAGGGAGCTAGAGCTTGCTAACAGTCAGATTTCCAGCCTCGAAGATGAGAAAGATGCACTCTATAAATCCTTGGCGAGCAAAAACAAGTTTCTCAAGAAGCACGAGAAAACATGGATGATGCACATAGCCTTATAAGGCAACTAGGGCAGGAAAGGGAGAGTTCGGAAAGAGAGCAAAGAAACTAGAAGAGGAATTGGCTGCTGCAAAGGGTGAAATACTGCGGCTAAGGAGTCGCATAAATTCCTCGAAAACTAATGTGAATGACCAGCATCAGCAAACTGTTGAAGTGGGAGCTAAAGCTGCCGCTCCTGTGAAGAGAGTTGCCAGGAGGAGAAAGGCTGTTCGACAGAAAGATGAGTCGACAGAAAGATGAGTCATAGCCTTTTGTTCCTGTTCTATTCATTTTCCTGTCCTTGACACGAGCTGCACCTAATTGAAATTATAGAATGTAATCATTGGTATGTAAATTTTGGAACATTCATTCGGATGTTCTCTTGTAGGGAAAGCTTATATTGAGTTGTATTATTAAGGCTGTGCCCTACTTTCTTGATACGTCTTCTTCTTGCTGTGAAACGTGTTGGAAATGGAAAGGTCAAGTTAGTGTATGTTCCTCTGATTAGTAAATAGTTAGTATGAATTTAGCTAACTTTTGAGTTGCCTTGCTGCATATTATAGAATTATGTGGAAAAACATATAATATATACTGAGAGATAACACGGTTATATTGACTACTGAAATCGGCTGGAGTGCCGGTGAAAGCCAAACATGATTTTGGATTTGAGTATCAAAAACACGAAAGGAGTCTGATTTTCTAGCGACCACAGTGGGAGTCGAACCCACGACCTTTTGATCCGAAGTCAAACGCGCTAATCCACTGCGCTATGCGGTCAGATGAGTGAGTGGCAAAATCAACTATAAGATAGGTACTTATGGACATGAAATCCATGGCAATTGGCACCTGTGAACATGAAATCGACATGAATATATTTACCTGTTTCGTTTGAGAATGTAAGGAAAAGGCCAAAAAAAAAAAGTGTTTTTTTTAATAGATTTTCTTATTTTAAAATTTTCAAAAATGAATTAATTATTTAATCATAAACTAAAAATTAGATCAAGATAAAAATATGATTCAAAATAAAAAAAAATTATACATCATCCAACAAAAAACAACTTATGTAATTTTGAACCCCAACAATAGTAGAAATATTTGTTAACGCTTTTGTTTTAAACCTTTAACACAATGTGCTTGTGATGAACAACAAAATTTTAAGACAAGAAGTCCAATAGCCACTTCATTGAATTTACAAATCACATTTTGTTCATTTTTATATTTATTTTTTTTTATCCCTTGAGGAAAGTGATTTTTTTTTGGATTAATTTTATCTACGCTATCAATGTATGATTATCGTCATTAGATACATGTATAAATGTTGAATTTTACAGTGTATATAAAATTTACTTTTTCTTTTTTCCATTTTCCCAATTTTCCATTTTTCTTTAGAAAAGACAAATGGCAATTTAGTAATTAAGCATCAGGATATCCAATCGGCCCTCTCGGCAGCAGTCATCGACTCATCACTCCAAACACTAATCTTTCTTCTCCCCTCGCTCTCTTTCCATTTTTTCTTTCTTTCTTCTAAGTTTTTGCTGTTAAAATCAATGGAATCTCAGTCATATCGGTAAATCAGATGGCTCAAAGCCTTTCAATTTTCATTGATTTACTCTAAAATTATTTTCGACCCCCAAGATTAGGGTCGTTTTCACATTTGACACCGAATAAAGCGAGCTATTTCGGAAAGCTTTCATTGATTTTGTTGGGTGAAAAAGGAATTCTTGTGACTCGTCATCGTCTCAGAGTCATGTTCTATGGTGCGGTGGTGTGGGATCCATGGCTGATCGTTGCCCAAATTGTGTGCCTCCAATGCTTATACTACCTAACTCTAGGGCTTTTTCTGGCAATTCTGGTCGGAACTAGAGTTTCGCGGATGAGTTTGGTATATTTCTTTGATTACGCCACTGTCACCGCTTCCACGGTCACCGGTTGGTGCGTCATTGCTTCATTTATTCTTAGCTCGCTTGCTGGGTAAGCTTTTGTTTTTGTAAAACTCAATTTACGTAAATATTATTGTGCTTGAGTTGTTTTTGAATTGCAAGTCAGTTTAGTTTTCTCGTTTGAGTCTGAATATTCTGAAATTTCTTAGGAGTGTGAGAGTTGTTTGTTTAATTTTTAAGGGATCCGATTTCCAAATTATGTTTAATTTCAGCTCTCAGTTTTGACTAATTTGTTCTCCTATCGAGATTTACTGGTAATGCGTGTTTTTTTTTTTAAGAAATAACTGGTTATGCGTGTTACTTGTTAAAAAAAAAAAACGATTCTGTGACATAATCTGGCTTTTTTTTTGTCGGCTTTCCTTGAGTGACTTATTTTTCACATGCTTAATTCAGTCAAATTCGTAATGAGGTAGTCTTACTTTGCCATGGTTTTGGTAAACCTCAAATGATTACTCATTTACTTAGCTGGCCTTTGCAAAGAATAGCTTTTCAGAGGTCTAATTGCAAGACAAGCAAGAATTTTGTGAAAAAAGACAAGAAAGTCTTTTTTAATATCTAATTTACCTGTTTATGGAATTTGGATCTATAATTCCATGCACTACTGGGGGTTTGGACGGAACTAATAAACAAACCTTGTGCCCACTTCATTCTGGGCAGTGTAGCTTAATCATAATCATTGGAACGTCTCTGGATATTCTTAATGCTTCCTTTACTGAGAAAAGTGATACCTTGGTTAACAAAACGAGATATGAGACTTGAGAGCTGAGAATATTCTAGAGAGATTAGTTAGTTTGCACAGTGATCTTTCCAATTTTTTAGTGACAGGCGATTTTCATTTGCGCCCAAAGAGTGGTGATGTTGGAGGCTCAAAGGGGCATTGACTTTGCATGTTGGAATTTTAAGTAAAATTTTATTTATATTATGGCCTTTTTGAAATGTTTATTTTCTGTTTTATACTGCATGTATTATTGCTTGACATCTGAAAGAAGAAGAAACAGAATATTTGTGTTTGTCTGAGAATTTTATTACTAGAGCTTTCATGAACTGTAAACAATTTAACTAGTGTAGTCTTCATTGTTGTTTGGAACAGAGCTGGATTCTTAGTTTATCTGGTTGAGAGGGCAAAGAAGTGCCTGGATTTCTCAGCCACCCTTTACATTATCCATATTTTTATATGTATCATATATGGAGGTTGGCCTTCCTCGATAACTTGGTGGGTTGTTAATGTCACTGGACTTGCAGTGATGGCATTGTTGGGTGAATATTTGTGCATAAGACGTGAATTGCGTGAAATTCCCATTACAAGATACCGTTCAAGTAAGTCTTCTTGCTCGGCTTGTTACTTCTCCAAGAAAGTGCTTCAAAAGAAAGTTAGATGTTATAATCTCCTTAACATATCTTGTTGGTGCCGATTCCATCTAACTGTTTTATTCGTTTGATTACTTCTTGTTCTTTTCTGTCTTAACATCATTGATCTCCTTTACTGGTTTGGTGCTTTTTTTTTTGGTCTTATGCATTAGTCTGCGGTTGAGCTGAATCGCTCATACTCTTGCCTATGTGATTTTTCAAAAACAAAAAATCTAGCTTTTTTTTTTCTGGGTGTGAAAACGTCATCAATTGACCTTTATTTCTTCAATTCATCCAAGAAGGCATCTGCTATCCTATTTTTCATGGTAGTCAATAGCATTTCCATATCTGACAGTCAACGGGAAATTCAAATTGAACTGCTTATATGCTTTGATTTGCCATTTGCACTGGCACATGGTCAGAGGTAGCTTGTAAGAATTTTGGGAGATTTACTAAGACATTTATCATTTATATAGTTTGGAGCTTTTCTGGTTGAGTTAGCATACTTCTCCCCAAAATAGCACAATGTTCTTGGCATTGCACACTGTAGTTTCTAGTAATTTTGATGTAAATGCTCCTAGCAAGATACTTCCCAAGTTACTATGATCTTTGCATCATTGTTCATGTTCTGGATTTGTCAACAGGTATCTTGGGAGGAAAACATCTAGTCACTGTATTATGAGTGACCAACTAGTATTTATAGGAGTACAAACCTAACCGACTATTTACAAGAATACCCTTACTAATATATTATCTACAAGAATACTAATATTCTCCTAACACCCCCCTCAAGTTGGAGCATATATATCATAAGCACCCAACTTGTTACAAAGGTATTTCACCCTAGAGCCCCCTAAACTCTTGGTAAACAAATCAGCCAATTGATCTGCAGACGGTACATGAGATGTCTTGATGACTCCATCAAGTAATTTCTCTCGAATGAAATGACAATCAACTTCAATATTTTTGTCCTTTCATGAAACACTGGATCAACTTCAATGGCCAGTTTTTGTTATTGTTTTATTAAGAAAAAAGTGTTTATCTCAATAATTTATGAACTGGAATAGGCATGAGTATCCTTTCTTTAATTCTAATATAAGAAGACGTCAGAGAAGACAATGGTAAGACAATGAGAAATTAAGCTAGTGGAGCTTTGGTTCTCCTTTCTTCACCTTGTAGTAGGGTTCCACAAAAAACCATAGTTGCTTACTAGGGAAGAGAACGACCTAGTAACAGAAGAGGGTGTGCTTCAGATAATATTACTACTGCAGATTCTACTTAATAGCTTTCAGTACTGGTGTGTGAACTTTGTATAGGTAAATTGCTTTATTAAATGATACATGCTTATCCTCTGCATTTCACCATGTTTTATCTATAAGCATGGGGATGCTGCTCAACATTTTCTGATTTATCTTAGGATCTCATCATTCTGAGTAGAAATGTCCACCTTTGTTGGAATAGATACTATTTCTTAAACCCCAATATGCTGTGCTTCCCTGCGGTTTTTGCATGTTCATATTCATGCAAACTAAAAGTTTGAGCATTAGATTAAAATAAGTATTTCCTTATTTGTGTTATGTAGCTAGTGCTAATCATAAGATGGTAGCCCTTTATCTTGCTACTTTTCATCTGAGCCTTTTCATTAATCCATGCAGATGTCTGATTGACAAGAAAATTAACAGGAGAATTTTTTCCAAGCCAATAGTGTTGATGGTAGCTCATTCACTTTGCACGTGTTCTTGGATACAGCACTGATTGAGAAGACATGTGATATGCTGGTTGGGATATATATTAAAGTCTCATGAAATTTTATTCTGCAGACTGAAGTCTAGAACCATGAAAGAGTGTTCAAATGTTCGGCAAGCAAGAACCGTCACAGAACTTTGTATGTACAATTTAGGTTTACTTTACAAGAGATGATTGTACTTTAGGGGCAAAATTGCTTGCATAAGCTATTATTAGTACCCAGATTGT